CCTTTCCGTTCTGAAGAATTTCCATCCAAAGATACCATAATTCAACATAATTCATTACATTGCGAGAATACACGCAAAATGAATGTAAAGAATTTACCTGTTGGAATTAAAGTAAATTAATCATTTTATACATCGTTCAATTTTTCCTCTCATGTTAAGATGAAGAAGCATGATGTCCTAAAGATTAGATAATGCGAATCGGATCGAATAAAATTTGTCAGCATTTTCTTATACGATCCGAAGAAGCTCGTGAATAAATATCATCAAGTGTTGCTTCCAGATTTACATCAAAATTATATTGCAGATTGAAGATTAATAAAGAATGTTGGGAACGAGCTCAAGGAAATTCTAGAAGACTTTGGAAGTGATTGAACGACTGGCAGGCGGCAAGTCACGTAAAGAAGAAACGTGCCTGGCATCCAAACTTGAAGCTTGCGTCGCACGCTGAGTAGTGCGCGGCGAAAATTACAATGACAGTACCTACGTTTAGCAACGATGAATTCAATTCTCACTTTGCAAGAAAAAATATATTTGGTTAAAAAAAAATGTTCTTACATTTTGCGCTAATGTCGATCATATGCGAAAAATAAGAAAGGAAACGATCGAATGAAAAACATGGCAAAATTCATCGATTTTAGAAATTTTCCTTAATTTTGTGTGAATTATTAATTGTTTGCAATTCATGTTAATTGTTATATATCTACAATTAATTACGATTGTAGAATTAAATCTGAATTATCGAATATTTTTTTTTTATATATATATATATATATATTGATGATAATTCAATGTTGAATTTACAATGAATCTCGATTTTCAGCGACATTTCAAATATTACACCAGAAAATGCGTACTCTCGGTTATTAATAAACATAAAAATGGGAATTCGTTATGAAGAAGTATGCAGCTCCAGAAACACGTTTCAGTTGCATCCCACTCACACCGGAGACTCGATTCAAGGTGATGCGCGGCTGATACGCAGAGTGCGGCCGGATGCACTGGCAATAATGTATCCGCTATCAAATGACTTTGTCCTTCGATACTAGTTCGCTTAGATTCACCTAGCGAAAGTCACGGGGACAGTCGCAGGCGTGATGGTATCGGCAACCTAATAAGAAAAACATGTTTTATTACAAGCAACCTTCTAGTTGCTCTGCAGTTCCTCAAGATCAACGTACGACCTCTACCGCGTTCGTGGGAGATCGACCAGACGCAAAGGAATTTTTATAGGGGTAAGGCGCAAGGAAATTATGACGAGATGTAATCGCGAAAAAAATAAGTAGTATTAAAAGACAAAAGATTATTATCAAGCTCGAATTGCAGCATATTTGAAAATTTAAGAATTAATAAAAAACTAGAAAGAAATACAATTTTAATAAATAAATCACTTAAATGTCAGAATTATAATATCAATGATTTCGAATTTTAACGATCTTTACGATCGCATGTACATGGATAAATATCAGTCGCAATCCAATTCATACATGTAGAAAGTTTTGCGTGGGCCAATCTGCGTGGGTGGACTGGCCTTCAAAGTTCCTTCACTGAAAAAGACCAGGATCGTCAAACGCGTAGGCTTCCGGTGGGAGGATTAGATAAAAAGCATCTGCCATTATACATAACTGTATCTATCGATTTGCGAAGAAATTAATCTCATACAAGTGTCTCTACATTCTATAAACTGTAATTATTCAAGATATATTATACCTAATTATAGAATATCTTATAACTGATTTATATAAAAAAAAATATATGCGTAAAATTATTCATGCAAATGGAAAAGTTTAATGTAATCTTGCAGCTATTACATGAAATAACGGTAGCACATTAACATAAATAAAATATACATTATAACATGTCTTATTCTTATATTCATTATCAAATAGGGGAAATGGGAAGAATGTATTTTATTTTAAATTTAAATAATCCGTTCCTACTTTATTTGTTAGATCTGTTCCTATTTGCTTTTCTTTGCTCTTTTCGCTTCTCTTTCTCTTTAGCATCGTGGATACGTCTCTTCTTTCGCAAGAGCCAAATTTCTTTAGCTCTACCTTCTCGACCTTTCATCATACTCTGGTACAATTTACGGTGTTTCTTCTTAATCATCTTTTCTCTGAGGCGATACTCCTGCTTCTCCAATCGAGCTTTCTCCCATGAATTTTCTTTCAAGATCTCACCAGTCTGTACCTTCATCTTCTTCTGCAAGTTTACAAATATTGATAACAAAAATCAATTTTCTTTAGATTATTTCAAAAGATAATATAAAAAAAATTGTAATAACAAAAACCTTTTGTAACTGAACTTGTTTCTTCATTTTCTCTTTTTCTTTTTCATCAATCTGTACATCATTATCATCATTTTCTTCTTCCTCTTCCATTTCCTCGTCGCTTCCTGAACTCAAATCATTTTCAGTTTTCTCTTCTTCATTCTCGTTCTTGTCTTCTTTGTTTTCTTCTTCTTCTTCTGAATCTGCTTCCACTACTCGAGATCAAATATAAAGAAATAAATATAGAGAATTTTATGTGTAATAATTTCAATACACTCATCCAAAATCAAAATCATACAATTGTTTAATTTATAATCGGGATCCATGAGAGCACGCTCTTCTGGAGGAATGTATGTTTGATCTTGTCGACCCTCTGTAAATGGTGAGAGATGAGGAGGAAGTACAGCACCCATTAAATATTTTTCTATAGGCAATAATTCTTTCGCGTTCACACTGTCAAAAACCCACTGTGGCTGTACGTAATATCTGTAAATAAAAATTATGTTAATAATTCAGAAATGTTATATACACGAAAGTAATAAATTAATATAAAACAGATGTAGTACCTCGATATGTATTGTTTAATCATGCTTGGTCTATCTACAATCTGATGAGTTATTGTTTCGTCATTCTCATCAAAAGTAGCTCCGACAAACAGTAATTTATCCCAAGATACTTCTCCACCAAAGCAACGTAAAATAAATACTAAAGGCTCTCTAGGAACCTCTCTATTAATAAAAATTTTTATGCCTTTAAATAAATTTTTCAAGTTCTTTATTTTTTCAGTTTCTGCCTTAGCAGCTTCTATCTTGGCAGCATCTGTCTCCTAAAAAGCGTAATCAATAATGTATTTAGATTTTATATGTATAAAATCACCGAATATAAAATTAATTAAAACATTTTAAACTTACATTTGAAAATTGATCTATTTCAATATTGTCATCCTCAATTGTTGGAACTGAAGAATCCAAATTGACCAATGAAACATTTAATGCACTTATTCTTTCTGAGACATATGTTTCTTCATCAACTAACGCTTTTTCAATATTCTCTGTATAATAAAATATTTAATTTTATATTTGAATTAAGTTTCATACTTCAAATAATAATATATCAATAATTTATATTAATGATCTTACTCACCAGAATTTATCAATTTGGGAGGATAATGTAAATTCAACGTATGATACAATCTGTAATTCACAAAACCAAGCATCACAATGTAAAATTCTACAAATATAGACATGACCTTAAAATCAACCTCATTTTTTGCTTGAGGTTCGAAACAAAAGTGATGTGGCACTATCCATGTTATCATTTGTCCTTTTATCTCTGCCTGATAATAATATCCTTTAATGGATACAAATATTTTTCGCAGTGCTTTAGCAGCGATGACAGCATGAAGAAATTCAATTGTTAATCTCCTACACAATAATGACTGATCTCTCGGTATATGAGGTAATGATGGAAATGTACTGAATAAAAAGCAGAGAGTCAGACAATCATCTAAATCACGCAATGCATCTATGAATGTTGGATAACGCTCCTTGACTATATGATCTATCTTTAACGTAGGATGGTTACTCAAATATATCTTTACTTTGGCAAAATCTTTCATTGCCTTTGCTTGTCCAATTTTTTTATTAAAAATCTAAAAATATATACTTATAAAGCATAATATAAACATTTGATTCCAATTTGTTATACCTTATATTCTCTTAATTTCCATATAATCGGTTCGTGCATCAAAAACTGAATATCCTTCTTGTGATATAAAGTTTTAATGCCGGGTTCACCTTTTTGTGCTCTTTTACGGTTGCGTGGCTCCCTTGGATATATGCCTTTCAATATACATAATTTACGAAAATCATTCAGTGTTAATTGTAATTTTCTAAGAGCAGCTCTCCTCGTCATAAACTGCGCTCCCTCACCACTCTGATACTGTAAATTTAAAACATATCGATTTAATTTTTAAGAATGTCATTCCATTAAATTTTCGTAAAAATTTTAGCATAACCTTGTCTACTCATAATAAAATATATTATATGAAATATTTAAAAATCCTTACCTTTTTTTTACCTATTACAACCATCGTGATGTGTTTTGTATTTAATATCTAAATATTAAAAAAAAAAAATACGTGCCGATACGAGCAAAATTTACAAAAAATTAACACACACCACGTGCAAAATACTAAAGAATATGAGAAGCAGTGTTGCCAAGGGATTTTTAAAAATTGTCCAAAAGGTACCATTAAAAAAAATCCCTATTAATTATAGCGAATTCAATTCGATTGAATGTAGCATCCTGATGCACATTAAACCGCAGTACACAAATGTAAAGAATATGTTTATAAGTAAACATAGAAACTGATTAAATCATGAAATAATACACTTTATTATGCTGTTAAATAAAACATGTACTTTACAATTCGATATGTTTACATTTAACTTTTACCAGAGAGAAGCCTAAGAGCGGTCATGCCCAGGCTTTAACTGTACTTTATTTTGAAGCGCCTCTATGTCCACAAAATGTTTAACTACGTAGTTCATGATCCGATCAATAATGATTTTTTGGTTGTATTCTTCGCTATATTCACGAATTTCGATCCGTTAGATAGACAAAGACGAATAATCAATCTGTTGACGCTTGTAATAAGTTTTGTTACAAGACAAATACATTATTACATCCATTTTCTGACACTGTCAATAAAATTGTATCGTCGAAAGTGTTCATGTCTGTACTATTGGGTTATCCGGAAAGTTCGTGTCGATTTTTGATAGGTGGCATAAGGACAGGTCTGAATATTAGAATGATTGAAAACAAATGACATGCGTACATATCGTGAAAGATGATACATACTTCAGGCATGCTTGGAAAAAAGTTTGATTGCGATACGTTAATTTTTGTCAGTTTTATACGTTTTTGAATATGGAAGAAAACAAAGTGCATTTTAGGCATTTAATGCTTTTCTTTTACCGAGAAGGTAAAAAAGCCACACAAGCGGCAAATAAGATATGCGCTGTTTATGGCGATGGTGCTATAGCTGAAAGAACTGTACGGAAGTGGTTTGCTAGATTTAAAGCTGGTGATTTCAACCTTGAAGATCAAGAACGCCCGGGTAGGCCCTCCATCACAGATGAAGATCAAATTAAAACACTGATCGAGAATAACCCACGCTATACGACACGTAAATTAGCAGAAATGTTGAATATGTCAAAATCCACCATCCACAAGCATTTTGTGAAGCTTGGCTACATAAACCGTTTTGATGTATTAGTTCCCCACGATTTAACGGAGAAAAATCTGATGGATCGCATTTCCATTTGCGACTCGCTCTATAAGCGCAACGAGAAGACACCATTTTTGAAGCAAGTAGTGACGGGGAATGAAAAATGGATCATTTACAATAATGTTGAGCGGAAAAGATCTTGGGGAAAGCGGAATGAACCACTTTTAACCACCCCAAAAACCGATCTTCATCCAAAGAAGGTCATGCTCTGTGTCTGGTGGGATTGGAAAGGGATCTTGTATTATGAACTTTTACCAAACAACGAGATGATAAATTCAGAGAAGTATTGTTCCCAATTAGACGAATTGAAGACAGCAATTGAACAAAAACGTCCAGAAATAGCGAATCAGAAGGGTGTTGTGTTTCATCAGGACAATGCGCGGCCTCATGTGTCTTTGATAACTCGACAAAAGTTGTTGGAGCTCGGTTGGGATGTTCTACCCCATCCACCATATTCACCAGATCTCGCGCCCTCTGATTTTCACCTATTTCGATCATTACAAAATTCCCTTAATGGAAAAAGCTTCAACTCTTTGATCGAGATAAAAAATCACTTAGAAAAGTTTTTCGCTGAAAAACCTGAGAGATTCTGGAAGGACGGAATTTTCAAATTGCCTGAAAGATGGAGAAAGGTTGTAGAACAGAAAGGCACCTATATAATTTAATAAATGTATACTAAAATTTAAATCTGCGTTTCAATTTTCCTTCAAAATTGGCACAAACTTTCCAGACAACCCAATACATCCACAGGCTAGAAGCGTATTGTTATCCCTCCACATAACAATTTTTTCCCTCACTCTATATATATATATAA